TGGTGCACTAGCCGAGGTACAATATTCCTGTATGGATCTTTATCTCTTTTCTGCTTCAAATAAGCAATGCAGCTCTCAACCTCAGACTTTATATGTAAAAACAGTTGATGACATTTCTCCCTATCTCTCAGTTAATGTTAAGAAACCAAGGATTCTAGAGAAGAAGAAAATGGAATGAAAATCAAACTCACGTTAAAATGAAAATAAACTAGCTTTTAAATAGGTTTTACAAAATAACTTCATCTAAAAAGATAACTAACCAATAAGTCCAACTTATCTAATCTATTTTAAATGATAACAACCTAAATAATAGGAAAAACAAGTAAACAACTTAAACTTCCTAAATTATAGAGATAATGGCTAAAAACTATGATCTACTTTCTAATAATCCCTCCCTTAAACTAAAAGTCTTCGGACTTTAGTTTATAAAAATCTAGAAAACACCATGTTTGTAATTTGAATCTGCAGACCCTCCCTCAAACTGAATTCTAGATGCTGCAAACACTAAGTAACTCTCTCAGTCTTGAAAAAGTTGCTAATTTGAGGGGTTTTGTGAATATATCAGCAACTTGATCTTCTGCTCTACAATAAGTCAACTTAATTGTTCCATCTTCTACTAAGTTGCGTGAGAAATGATACCTCACATGTATATATGCTTGCTTCTCCCATGCAAAATTGGATTTCTAGAAAGCTTGATATATAGTTGAATTGTTGTCACAATAAATTGAAATGGCCTTATGTTGATTCATCTCAAGTTCTTCTAGAACTCTTCTCAACCAAATAGCTTGGCAAGCACATGAAGTCATTGCCACATACTTTGCTTCTATTATGAATAAAGTCACAATGGTTTACTTCTTTGAAGACCATGAAACTGCACCAGATCCCAACATAAAGACATACCCAAAAGTGCTTTTTTTGTCATTTAGATCTCCAGCATAATCACTATTTATAAAACCTGCTAGATCTATCTAGTCACCCTTCTTGTAAAATAGTCCAAAATCTGCAGTTCCATGTAAATACCTAAGAATTCTTTTAACAGTCTGCAAGTGCAACTCCTTTGAATGCTCTAGACATCTGCTAATCAGACTTACACCATGCATTATGTCTGGTCTTGTTGCTGTCAGATCCATTAGACTTCCAACAAATTGCTTATACAGTTTGTTGTCCACAGATTTGCCACTTGGGTCTTTTATGAGCTTTACACATTTTTCAACTAGTGTAGTGACAGAATTGCAGTTCTTCATTTGAAATCCGTCCAAAACTTCTTACCTATATTTTTTTTGACAAACAAATATTCCAGAATTTGATTGTACTACTTCTAGACTTAGAAAATAATGCAAAAAACCCAGATATGTCATATCAAATTCAAGCTTCATGGATTGTTTGAATTTTTCCAACATGGCAAGATCATTCCCAATATAAATTAAATCATCAACATATAAGCATACTATAATCAATTTACCTGCATCTCCAAATTTGAGGATTGCTTGAATTTTTCCAACATGCCAAGATCATTCCCAGTAGAAATTAAATCATCAACATATAAGCATATTATAATCAATTTACCTCCATCTCCAAATTTGATGTAAAGTGTATGCTCATAAGGGCACTTTTGAAAGCCTTCCTTCAACAAATACGCATCAATTCGACTATACCAAGCTCTAGGTGCTTGTTTTAGTCAATATAATGCTTTCTTCAATTTGTAAACCTTATGCTCAAAACTAGATTTCACATAACCAGGTTGTTGATCAATAAATACCTATTCTTGCATATCTCCATGCAAGAAAGCCGATTTCATATCAAGCTGGTAGATCAGCCATGAGTTCTACGTTGCTAATTCAATCACCAATCTGATGGTGTCCATCCTTACAGCTGGAGCAAAGACTTCTTGATAATCAATGCCAAACTCTTGCTTGTAACCCTTTGCCACCAAGCGAGCTTTGAATTTGTCAACCTCTCCATTTTCATGGAGCTTTGCCTTTTAGATCCATTTAACACCAATTGTCTTATGCCCTTTTGGAAAATCTATCAACTCCCAAGTTTGGTTCCTTCAATAGAACCAATTTCTTTTGCCATGGCTTTTTGCCACTTTTCTTCTTTAACAGCTTCTTCATGTGTCAATGGATCACAATCTACAAATAGAGCAAAATGAGTAACTGGAACATCATCTTAAGGTAGATTTGTTACCTCATAATCTTCCAACCATGCTAGTTTTCTCTTTTTGCGTTGAGCTCATGAACTAGTTCCTGATTCCAGTTCTAGTGTTGTTGGGAGACTTCCTCCAGTACTAAGTTCTATTTTTGTAGACAGACTTCCCTCATTTCCCTTTTTTAAAGCCTGGAGGTCTGTTGAAGTTAGACTTCCATTCTGTTACGTCTGACCTTTTGAGTTTTGCTTAGTCAAATCCTCTCCATTTTCGAAATCTTTAGGAATCGATCGCCTAGATTTTTCTATTCAAGACCAAGTGCTTGCTTCATCAAACACTACATCATGACTAATGATGACCTTTTTGGTTATAGGATTGTATAATCTGTAAGCTTTGGACTTATCACTAACACCAAGAAAAATACATTTTTTCCCTTTGTTATCAAGCGTACTCCATTTCTGATCTGGCACATGAGCATATGCTATGCACCAAAAAATTATGAAGTAGTCAACAGTAGGTCTGCATCCATTCCAACCCTTTTTTGGCATCATATCTGGAAGTGGAGATATGGGACTTTTATTCAAGATATGAACACCCCAATTAATAGCTTCTAGCCAAAACTCCTTAGGCAAGCCACTCTTTGACAACAGATTTCACACCATATTCATGATTGTGCGATTCCTCCTCTCATGTACACCATTTTGGTAGGGTGTATATGCTACTGTGAGTTGCCTTTTAATACCTATAAGTTAAACTCACCATCACGGTTTATGCGTAGAACCTTTATAGATATACTAGCCTCATTCTCAGCCAAGACTTTGAAATTTTTAAAGGCTACTAAGGCTTTTGACTTGTTCTACAAAAAATACACCCATGTTTTGCAACTATAATCATCAACAACAGTAATAAAGTATTGTTTACCTCTATTGGATGTTGGATTTATGGGTCCACAAAGATAATAATGAACCAGATCTAACACCAGCTTTGCTTTCCAAGATCTGTCTTTAGGAAAGCTGTCATGGTGTCGTTTGCCGACCATGCAGATTTCACAAATTTCTGAAGGAGAATCAAAATGAGAAAAACCATTTACCATCTTCTTCTGCTAAAAGCCTCTCAACCCACCAAAATAAAGATGACCATATCAACAATGCCACAACCAAGCTATGTCCTTCAATATGGTAGAAAAACATGACAAATTTGTGGTCTACAGGTACAATAGAAACAACCTATTTCCAATCATCTTGACCTTTGTAATTAAGCCAAGCTTTAAATCACAAACTTGGTAAACTCCATCTTTAATCAAGATTTCATATCCTTTCTCTTGAAGTTGTCCCAAACTAAGTAGATTTTACTTTAAATCTGGTACATACAGAACATTAGCAATAGTTTGAATTGAATTGTCTTTGGCATGAATGGTTACTTTTCCCCTTCCCTTGACTACAATAGTAGAATTATCACCAAATTTCACCTTGTCTTGAAAAGGCTCATCCAGATTTGAAAACATAGATTTGTCTCCACAAATGTGGTTGCTACAGCCAATATCCAGATACCACACATCCTTCTTGTTGACTTCTTTAGGATGACAAACAATGAATAGAGAGGCATCATCATTTTTCTCATTGTGTTATGTAAAATTAGAACTTTCTCCTATATTAAGATTAGCATGGCACTCAGAATGATAATGGCCATACTTATGACACCGAAAACACTCATCATTTGCCTTGTTTGTAGACTTAGATTTGTTATCTATAGCTTCATAATTTCTATTATGCTGCCTCTTTCGATTTTTGATGGCTAAATTCCTCTGATCTGTCAGATCTTGATCTGCCTTTCCAGTTTTCTTTTCCTCAACTTATAGCCCTTGAATTAACTATGGTCTGCAAATCTTGCATATATGAAATTTGCACTACTTACTCTTGCTTGTCTTGGCAATTTATCTTCGGCACATGAACTAATAATGAGTTTTGCAACTCATCAAGGGAAAGTGCCTTCATATCATTCAACTCCTCAATTGAACAGACAACATAATTGAATTTTGTTGTCATGGATCGAAGGATTTTCTCAACTATGGCAACATCTACTAGATTTTCGCCATAGATCCTTATCTTGTTTGCAATTGCCATCGTACTTGAAAAATAGTCATCTACAGATTCACCAATCTACCACTTCGCTCTTTCATTCCCTTGTAATTGATTATATACATTTAAGTTAATTGGTTTTGTATCGAAGAATTTTTTTTGTTGTATAGATTTACATATAGGTGCTTTGTATATACATTGAAAATAAATTAAAAAAATAATTAATAAACCTTTCTTAAAAAACAAATATATTATGTATAACAATAATCAATGATTATGTCACCCTAGTTTTTGGTGTTGCATGGCTAGATATGGTTGATGAATGGTGGTGATGGCCTTTGGTTTCATATCATATATAGACTCACTTCGCTATAGGTTATAAAACTCCACCCAAAACTTATATGAAAAGTCTGTCCTATAATCACTTAAAGAACGAAATTAGCAGATATAGAGTACGTACCTTGATGCCATGCAAAGTTTTAGGGAACAAGCAAAAACGAATCCCAAGTACAGACCAACTGCTAAACCTTAGACAAAATGCCCTTTTCACTTTCTACATAATGTTGATGTGTGGCGAGAAAAAAAAAATTCCAACTTTCATATAAGTTTCATATAAAGGATAGGACAAGAGAGGACGTGTGTCGAGAAAAATCAAACATGCTTCATTTGTTTGCAATATCGCGAAGGATGCCCATGTCTGCTATCTGCTATTACTATTATCGAGCTAAATCTATTTCCTAGTTAACTACAACAAATTGATAACTTTATATCTCAAACATCACCCTTGAGCTCCAAAATTCTAATGCCAGTCTGTCACCAAAAAGTTGATATATATATGGAAAAGTATATATTAGTCTCAATTTTTAAAAATAATTAGAGTTTCAATTTTAAATTAGGTTATTTTATTTATTTAAAATTTAATTCAAAATTTTAAAAATTATTTTATTAAATGTTGATATATTAGAATATATAATGGATTTCTAAATTTAAATATTAACATTTAATAGGATGAGATTTTAGTTTTTAGATATAAGTTGAGACACTAATTGTTTTTGGAAATCAAGACTAATACACACTAATTTCATATATATATATATATTGATAGAAAATTTTTAGAAGGGATGGGATTATTCTCACATTTTAAATAGTTAATATCACACCATGTTAACATAATTACCTACTATACCCTTTTAGAAGGTGTGGTAATAACATCATCCGTTTAAAGGTGGATTGCCTCGTTGGTTTTTATTAAAGAAACTCATCAAGGATTGCACTAAATGAAATTGGTTCTCTATTTAATTCTACATATTCACACTTATAATTTGATTTATTTACTACAATAATTACCTTGTCTATAGCTGATTTAGTTTCCATCTTTGTATAACTAACTGGGTTGTATCTCTATATACAATTTCTATGAAATCAATATAACGATCATCGTTTTCACAATATTGTATTGTAATAGCCCATTAGTGGCATCAAAGCCCTCTCCCTCAAACAAGTTCAAACCCAGACACCATGGACGACCAAACCCTTTTAATCAGCTTAAGCAAAACTATCACTGCAACTCTTGTAGCCATTGTCACTCCAATACCCATGACCAATGCAACTGGAAATCCAAATAGTAATATCATTACCTTCAATGTTGCTGTTTAATTTCCAGTGAAATTTATCGCTAGCAACTACGTAAGTTGGAACAAACAGTTTATCTCATTACTCAAAGTCTACAAATTGTATGAATTTTTACCGGAATAAAGGCAGTGTCTAACCAAATACAACATTCTAGATTCACCTTATGATGTGTGGGTAAGATAAAATTAATCTCTTCAACATGCAATTATGACTTCAATTGTAGAATCCATTCAATATGCAACCTAATTTTTTCAATTTATATATTAGGGAGAGAGCAAACTACTCGAGATTAATTACTCATACTTATGGCTAAGGCAGCAACTAGAGTTTGCACATATGCTATATGTCATCGGTTACTCGCTGGTGTCCTGTTGGGATAGGAAATGAAGCAAAGCCAAACTCAGGCATTCGCTATATCCACAGTGTGCCTTGAATTGCTTGAAGTTGAAGTTTATCTTTGATAAGTAAAGTGTTGACACCTCTGATCAATGTACTGACTACTGACACTGTAGGAGAGAAAAATATGACAGTGACCGAAAAAGTTCCGAACCCTTCATCTAAGTTCTGGAACCGCAAGGTGTTGACACTTTGGCGCGAAATTGGATGATTTTTCTCTTTTTTCCTAATTTAGAATTCCCCTGTCAATTTAGAATTTCAAGAAGAGGGACTCAATCTTAAAGATGCTGTGGAATTTTAGTTAGATTTAATCCTCTAACTCTTAAAGTAATTTTGTGACTCGAATGATAATAAGTAGTAATTTTTATAAGAATTTGAATTTTATACTTTAGTAAAAATTCAAAATTTTGTTTTAATTTTATATAAATATGTATTATTAACAAATTTAAGATATGGTAGCAGAGACGCACCTATAATGGGGAAATTCCACCCCAGGGGGTGATTGAGTGGTAAACAAAAAAGAGTTAGGGAGACCTTAAAGTGGGAAGCCTAAAAAGACAAAAGAGATTTTAAGGACAATATTAAGAGTAATTGAAAAAAATTGAGAGGCATTTGCTTCCTAATATTTCTTTGTTGAAGATTTTTAAAGTTAAATTGATATTTTACTTTATTTATTATTATTATTAGTTTGCATAATTCTTTAATGGGAAAAATTCCAACCATTGGTATCATGAGGAGGGAATTTTATTCCATAGGGTGGTCTAAGAGATCGAAGGAGGAATTTCTTAATTCCCAACAGAGCAGGCATCAACGGTAACTAAACTCAAGTCAACAACGTCAACGCTTCCTCAGAACAGTGGAAAATTTCAGGAACAAGAAGCGACGAAAAATTTTTATGCCAATATGGACGAATTACAGGAGGAAGAGGAAGGTAGGAAGACGCTCAAGGATTTCTTTGAGGCCTGCAAAGAGTTAACAGGATCAGACGGCGGTCCGCCTCGATGGTTCTCTCCCTTGGAGTGCAGCTGCAGGGCACCGGATTCTCCCCTGTTTCTCTTTTTGCCTGGTCTGTTTTGTCTTCTCTCTTCTCACTACCATTTTT